GAGCCCTGTAATCACTTACATTATTCCAGCATTTCCAAAACAGTGATTTGTGGAGGTGTTTTGGGAAATGCAATACAGGAATCTATTTTCTTTTGTTTTTTGAAGCACAGGAGAAGGAATCCGGGGCCTTGTACATGTGCTAGATTTGAGTGCTCTATCACTGAGCTACGCCCACCCTGTGGAATCTATCTTAATCCCTATTTTATTATAGTCAGCGAGTAAAAGAATAAACAATTTTTCTATAGTGACAGAGCCCTCTGAGAGCCCCAGGGGTGGGGGGTAGACAGCCAGGGACCCATGTAGAGCAGGTATCCAGGCCATGATTTTCTCCCAACTATCTTTGCACTTGGAAACTCTTCTGTATTTTTTAAAAATGTATTTAGTACAGGTCTAAGGGTCTCACTACACAGATTGGACTTGTAGTGATCCTTCCTGTTTTTCAGCCTCCTAAGCGCTGGGATCACAGCTGTGCATCAGCATGCCCAGGCTTGCACTGCTGGTTTTAACCACTATGTAGTTGTAACTTGTTTTTCTTGGAAATCTCATGCTGATACTCCAAAGGACCTAGAATTCAAAAAGAACACTGACACAGCATATAACTAGGTAATGTGGAACACAAGAATTAATTATGTTCCTTTTATGGTTTTATTTTAATTTCTATTGGCATGTGTATGCACTATATAGCGAATACCTTCTTCTTGGGGGGTTGGTACATGTGTACAACTTATCATAGTTCTTTTTCCATTTCTCTCAACTCCCCTCTCTCCCTGAGAATTATATTGCTATGACTGGGCCTCAAGATTTTTTTCTCCATGTCTGAAAATTATCATTACTACTATTTTTTGCAGAACGAGGGATTGAACTCAGGCCCTTGCGCTTGCTAGGGAAGTGCTTATTCCACTGAGCCATCTCCCTGACCCCTAAAACACAGGGACTGGGTTTTTTTTTTTTGGTGGAACCACGGATTGAACTAAGGCCCTTGTGCTTATTCTACTGAGCTATCTCCCAGCCCCCAAAAGATGTAATTGTTAAGGGAGTTTATTTAGTGTGCAAAAATGTGAGAATCCTGTATACTATGCATCCATGAGGCAGTAATATTACACAAAGAATTTTGGGTATAATAGTTAATGAATTAGATGAAATTACAGAAAATATTGGTCCTTTAAGCTTAAATTTCAGTATCAGTAAGCTTTTTTAGATGATGCATGGGGAAATTTAGTAATACATAGATAACAACATAATACCAAGATAGTGCAGCAGACTAAGCACCTGCTTAAGCAGGTGTAGGGACCTGGGTCTGATACCTGGCACCACATGCCACTGGCTCCAATCCTGGGCATACTGAGCCAGCCACCAAGACCTGGCCTGGTGCCGCACACTTGTAATCCCAATGCTGGAGAGGCTGAAAACAGGAGGATAATTATGAGTCTGAACTATGTAGTGAGACCCTGTACCAAATACATAAAAAAATAATATTTTGCTGAACACATGATATGTACTACCATTTTGGATTTATCATTCATTTAATAAGCAAAAATAAGTAAAATTTTATAATGTGTGCTATGTGACAGGAACTAGTTTAAGCATCTTGCACATATGAATTTATTTCATGCTCAACCCCTACACTAGTGTTATTCTAGGAACAGATACTAGTACTATTCAATTTAGAGGAAGAAACTGGGGCACAGAAAGTTTAATCAGTCCAAGGTCACACAATAAGTAGTGGAGCTGACATTCTAACCTGGGCCATCTGTCTCCATTGCCCATGTTCTTAAGTATTTATTGAGCATTTGAAGCTTGGCAGTGACTGTTCTAGGTTCTGGGGCTGTAGGGTGAACCAAAGAAACAGTTTTTGCTCTCATGAAACTTACATTTCAATTGGGAGAGATACATGATTAAAAAACAAATAATTTTAAGGGACGGCAATATAGATCAGCAGACACTTGGTTAGGTAAGCACAGGAGCCAGGGTTCGATCCTTGGCACTGCATACCATGCTGGCCCCACCCCTGGGGCACACTGAGCTGGCAGTGGAGTCAAGGAGTGGTGGTACACGCCTGTAATCCTGGCACTAGGGAGGCACAAATCAGGAGGATCACTATGAGTCTGAGTTTCGTAGTGAGACCCTGAATACCCCCCCCAAAATAATAATTTTAGATGTGTTAGGTAACAAAAAGTACTAGGAAGAAAAGTATGGCAGGAAAAGTGGTAGGGATTCCTCTTCAGACCAGATGAAGGGGAAGGACAGATCTTGTTTCTGTAGGATAACAAGGCAATCCTTCAAGAGAGACCCCCCAAAGCAGGTGCGTGCCAAGAGGCTCTCTGAGGAAAAGGCCTAGTGAAGAGAAAGGGCAGTGTCTGAGCAGGGCCTGTTGTTGGTGTGTTAGACCACAGTGAGGAACTTTCTCTTTCCCTCTCTCCTTTTTTCTTTTTCTTTTCTTTTTTTGATTATTGTGAGAGTTGAAAATGACACCAAAAGATAATGGGTTATGGTCATGTTGCATGTATATGGAGCAGTACACGGATGTAGGGTTTTATTTCAAGTGCAGTGAGAAGCTAGTAGCAGCAGGGTATCTGTTTAGAAGTGACATGACCTGTCTTTTGTTTTAAAACAAACAACAAAGGATCACTGTAGGAAGATGTGTGGAAATCCTGTTAGTGAGCTGTTGAAAGGGTTCAGGTGACAGATGAAGTTGGCTGAGGCTGAGGCAGAAGCGCTGACTCAGGAGGTATTCTGAAGATGAAGCGAAAGACTTTGCTCATGGATTTGATGTGAGGGATGACAGACAGGTCAAGGACAGGGGCCAAGGCACTCTTACCCTGAGCAATGGAAGAAATGACTGGCCTCTTAGACAAAGCACAGAATTTATAACATCCCACAGGTCAAGTCAAATGACTCTTTCAAGAAGGATGTGCATCAAAATTATATTAATCAGAGGAAGATACCTTCTTCACACTATGGGGTATTTGTCTAGTAAACTAGACTGGTAGCCTTTGAAGATAGCTTAGTGTGTGGTGGTTAGATATGCTTATCCTTAGGTATATTAGGAATAAAACTGGCCCTAGCAGTGCTAGCAGAATGCAACCAACCTGGGAGTTCCCTCCCATTTGAAGAATTAAGGCACCACATCCGCTCCCCACTTTAGGCAACAGAAGCCGAAGCTGTTGGAAATCACATCCTGAACCTACAGCAGTCAGATTCAGCAAAGGGTGAGCCCAGTGGCTCCTAGGCTGGGAGGGCTGGAGCACTGCAGGCAGGTCAATGGATAGCTGCAGATACCCCCAGAGGTCTGGTTGGCCTAGCTCTGGATTGTTTGGGGCAATTACTTGAAAATTCAGTCCAAATGACTTCTCATTTTTAATTTTTTTACGTGGTACCAGGGATTGAACTCAGGACCCTGTGCTTGCTAGGCAAGCATTAATTCTCATTTAAAATTTATTTTCTACGCCGTGTGAAGATGGGGAAGGCAGAATCTGGACTTCAGGGAGGATGTGTGAATGCTCAGAGTGCAGCACCCCCCTCCCCCAGGTAGCCACCCTAAGAGGCCAGCAAAGGGCCATCTCAGTCGTCTGCGAAGCAGGGCCTCTACCTCAGGAGGAAGGGAGCCTGAGTCAGGTAGGGCTGTGCTCTCCCCAAAGCCCACACACAGCGAGTCATCCTTTCCCAAGCACAGATGGATAAATTTACTTAAGACCTCTGGGAAGCCAAGCTCCAAGTGGCCAGTGAGGAAGTATCAGCGTAGGTTCACTTCTGACTTCATGTGAATAAGTTACTATTCTCACCACCTTTACATTTTTCCAAGTACAAAACTTTCAAAAAAGTTAAATGTTTACAAACAAGAAGAAAAAAAAGGAACCTAGAATAATCCGCAATCTTTTAATTGACTATTTTATGAAAAAACTCACAAACTGAGTATGACAGCGCATGCTTGTAATCCCAGCACTCTGGGAGGCTGAGGCAGGAGGATGGCACGTTGGAGCCGGATCTGCCCAACTAAGCCATGTAGTGAGACCCTGTTTGAAAATAAACAAAGAGGGCTTGAGCTGTTGCTCAGTACTGCAAAACCCAACCAAACCAAAGTCTCACAATTGTTCTTAGGCTTCTGCTTTCTGTAAAAATTACTGCTGGACAGAACTCCAGATCAGTTGTTGGGAGTCACCAGAAGAGGAACTGCTGGCCAGGTTGGGAAGGCTTAGTGGGATGCAGGCAGAGGACATCCTTAGGAGGCCTGCAGGCTTCGTCTTTCTTCCCTGGTAAAAGGGAGCCACGTAAGGGCTGGGCCTAAGCCTGCTGCCTTCATCAGGAGCAGAATGACCATCTCAGGGCGTGCTTGCTCTACTCCAGTCCTACTCCCTCTGCCAGCTACCACCTCCCACCCTTGGCCCCCAGCTCTGTCACCAGGAGAGGGAAAGGTAAGAGTCGGAAGGCCTGGGGCCCGAAGGTGCAGGTGCGATCTGCCTCGGTGCTGCCACGTTTCCCCACTCTCCCAGTTTTTTGTTTTTGTTTTTGTTTTTTTTTTTTGAAAATAAGAAGGAAGGAACCCTGTTCTTATTGCTCAGAGCTACAAGCAGGCCTTGCCCGGCCCTAAAGCCCTCGGTACGGCCCTACCCCGGCCCCCGCAGCATCGTGTCTTCTTCCAGGAGAGGCCTCTCGGAGGCCCGGGGAACTGCAGTGGAGAGAAGGCGCTCACGTGGCCCATCACTGCTGTACACGAGCTCAGGCCATGAACACAGCTTCCCTTAACACGGGAAAGGGGCAGCCGGCAGGTAGGAAAAGCGAAAACTGCGGGGAGCCTCGCTAGCTGGAGCGGCTTCCATTGGCTCCGCGCTCTCCTCTCTGGGACCTGATTGGCTAAATGTCGGGCGCACGGGCTGAGCACGCTCCCCTGCGTGGCGCGGCGCTGGGCGGGCGACGGCTTCGTAGCCAATGGGAGGGGCAGGGGGCGGGGCCAGCAGGCGCGGGGCCTCCCCCATCGCGCGCGAGTTGGTAAACAGAGCCGCGCGCGTGCAGGGCGCCAGCTTCTTGGCGAGCGCGCGGAGGCCGCGCGAAGGTGACCGAGGATCCCCGCTTACTGTGGCCAGGTAAGCCTGTCTCCCTCGCCGGCCAGCCGCGTACGCGGGCGCCTTGCGGCAGGGGCCGTGCTTGGCCTCACCGCCCGCGGAGCCCTTGCAGCCTCCAGTGACAGCGCGGCTTTGCGTCTCCAGTTTCACTTGAGGCGAGCCCTGAGGCGGGACCCACCGCGTGCCCACCTCGGCCCGCGCGGGGCACTTGCAGGAGGTCACAAGGGCCGCGTGCCGTGCCCGGAGAAGAGCCCTGCAGCTCCGGGGCCCTCTAGCCGCTGCCCGTGCAGCTTGGTCGCCAGAGCAGCGTTCCTGCCTCGTGTTCTCGTGACAGTGGGTCTCTTTGATTCCTAGACCACTCTGCAGTGTGTGGCAGGGAGCCCGACTGCCCAGGCTGCAGGTTTGTGACAAAACTTTGGCTTCTCAGGCCCGAGCCTGTTGAGCTTCACAGGTGGTACTTTGAGGTGAACTTGGGAAAGGGGACCCTTTTTGGACCTTCTCTTTTTTATTCTGAGGTTCTTCTTCTAGATGCTGGCGGTCTTGTGAGTGGTTTGGGCTAAATCCTCTAAACTGGAGCTTTTTGCTAGTTTATTCTCACTGCATACAGTCTCGTCTGCTAAACCCAGGGAGCTCTCCCACTATGGGGGGTGGGGAGGGCTGCAGGGCGGTTCTGGTGCTGGCATCCTCCATGTGCTGAGATGTACCCTTCCCGAAGGGCAAGGCTTGTGTGCAGCCTTCCAGCTTGGTTTGGACTCGCAGCCCATAGGAAAATTTGTCCACATTCATTTAGGCCTTAGGTCTGAGACATGCCAGGCTTACCACCATGCCAAAGGATTTGAACGTGTATAGATGCCAGCCCACCTGTTGTCATGCTGTGGGTGGATGGGTGATCTTGGTGGGAAGGCTGTTGGTAGACCTTGTTCTGGAGGAAGGGGCCTCTCTTAAGAAGAGGGATTGGAGGCTGGTGGTACACACAAGCAGCATCCTTTTAAGACTGAGGTGACAGTTTTGGGTGTTATGTTCAGCCTTGAATTACAAGTAGTATATACAGTGCAGAGTAGTACATACAATGCAGAATTGTTGTTGTTGTTATTATTATTATTATTATTATTGCCTGAATATAGGCCAAGAAAAAAGTGAACTAGGCAGTCTGGACTCCTCTCTAAGAGCCAGTGCATGCCTAAGATAGGGTTTCAAAATCTCCAGACTGTTGACATACTGGGTCCATAATTGTTTGTTGTTGGGGTGGGTGGGCTGTCCTGTGCATTATAGCATGTGTAGCAGAGTCCCTCACTTGGCAGGGAGCCCCTCTGCCCCACCAGTTATGACCATCAAAGTTGTTTGTAGACGTTGCCTTGTGTCCCTTAGAGGGCAAATTTGCCCTTGATTTAGAACCATAGCTTAGACTTTGCAAAGGGCCATCCTGTGCTGCCTGAGACCTCTCAGAGACCTGCTTATGGGTAGTGCAGAGGTTTGAGGAGATGCCAGCATGTTATGCACATGGGGAGAAGCCATGCAGAAAGGGCTTTAAAGGAGACCTCTCCAGTGAACTTGGTGGCAGGGGTGCAGCTTGTCACCAGGGAGTTAGAGCTACAGACTCATTGGCATTCATTGTGCCTGCTGGCTGCAGGGCAGTGATAGGTGGGCCAGGAGTGCTGAGGAATGAGAGACTGGTGGTTTCCATCCCTGGGGATATTGCAAGTGTGTGTGTGTGGGGGGTATGCAATGAAATAACTTTATGGACCCAGTTTTTAATAGTGAGTGAATGAATACAAGTATCCTGGATGCTGCAGAAGCCAACTCAGGTGTCCACAAGTGACTCGTCCAAGGTGGTGCTTTTCCCATCCTCGCTATTTGCTCAGCCATTTCGGTCTTGTGATCTAGGAGAGGCTGAAACTGTGTCTGCAGGGAGTGAATGGCTGCCTTTTAGGTGTGCATTGGAAATATATCTATCCTACCAGGAGTGTTAGTACAGTGTGAACACATATATAATTTGTGGAGTTGTTTTACAGTTAATTGAAGCCTCAGTGTCAGAGACAGCGAGCCATTTCTTTTTGTGCACAGAAAGATGCTATCAAGTCTACATTTTGCTTTCAGTGTAACCCAGAATTTATGTCTGACTTTTAGGTCCCAAATTGATGGGCATGCAGAAAAACTGGAAAGCTATGCTTATTGTACATGGAAAAATATCCCAAGCCCCTACTATGAATTTCTGTTTCTTTAATCATTCCCTTGAGGGTGTATCAGAATTTTCCTGTGACACTCTTGGTCAACTTTGGGTCTTTTGGGTCTCTTTATTGCTGACAGAAAAAGATTAGGAAGGGAGATCACTTCTCCTTTCTCAAAGAGAAGTTTGGAGAAGTCTATTATTGGGAAGCTCAAAACTTGGCAGGATAATTTTCCATCAAGAGCCATGGACACTGAGTCATTATCTTTGTCAGTTGAAACAAGAGCTGTGTGCAAAATTAGACAGCAGTATTTAGGTAGAGCATTTTCTTGAGTTGACAACTGGAAATAGTTCTAGCATTCCTGTTAAACAACCATCAGGAACTAGGGAGACCCAGTAGGACAGAGAGCAGGAGGATTGTAGAGCTCAAGGGTCCTGTTCCTTCTGAAATTGCACATGTGGGAAGGGTGAGGTGAGGAGACAGCTTGTGAGAAGTGAGGGTGGCCTGGGTGCCAGCTGAAGGGATATAGATGGGGGTTTGTCTTGAGGCACAGACACATGTGTGAGATTTCTAGTTGGAGGAAAGAGCTGGATGATGTTGCATTAATGAAAATAGAGTGTACAGGGGAAGGAGGCGCTGGTTTGGGAGAAGATGGTGATATTAGTATTAGACATGATACATTAGTATTTTTCCCATTCTTTTTAAAATTAAGATATAATTTTCATGTAAATTCACCCTATATAGTGTGCAGTTCTGACAGTTGGACAGATTCATATCATTTTGTGACCACTACAGTCAAGGTGTAGAAAAACTCCATCATCCCCTCAGTTCTTTATGTGTCCTGTAGTTGCCTGCAGGACTTTAATGGGGCTTTGTTATAATACAGATATGTGTCATTTGGTTCTTGAAATGGTTTAAGTGGATGAGACTGTGTAGCCTGAGAATGGGAAGGCAGTGGCTGGAGCAGCCCGGGAGACAGTGCATGTAGCAGAGAGGCTGGAGGTCCATGGTGTGCCTGGATCACCACATTGTGTGCCTACATGGCCACAGGAAGCTTGGTGAAGCAAGCTGTGGAGAGGAGGCCAGAGTGGAGGGAGACGGAGAGTGCTGGGGCTGGCAGGAAACTCTGTGGAGGGTGGTGGTGGAATTAGGCTGAGGATGCCCCCTGGCTTGAGCCATCAGTTGTCACAGAGGGTGGCTGGGGGAACAGGAGAGATGAATGCACCATCTTTAGGAGTGGTTGACCTTGAAGGAGAGGCAAAGTCAGCAGGAGGTTATGTTTGGTGCTGGGGAGCTGGGTGTGTGTTTGTGAGTGTGAGGGGAAAGGCCCTTGTGAAAAGGAGATGCAAACAGAAGAAAAAGTAGAAGTGAGTTCCTCTTGGGCAGAGTTAGGGCGGGAGGGTAGGCTGAGGGAGATTCTGAGATATGGGGTTGGGAATTAAAAGTTTGCTCTTATCTGATTGATCGTAACTGATTGCCTTGAAGAGGGCTGCCACAGAGTGTGGGAGGGGTGTGTGTGTGTGTGTGTGTGTGTGTGTAATTGTGGCAAGGACAAGTTTCTCCTCTTCTACCTCTGCATCACCCACTTGGTATTCCCAGAGGCATGTTTCTTGAGTGAGGCCATAGAGTTTTTGTATTTCTACTTTTGTGAAGACAGTGTGGGGGTTCTGCTTTCTCCCTCCTGCTACCTACCTTCCTCCTCCTCCTTTTTTTTTTTTTTTTT